CATCAGCAATAGCAGGTGTATGTGTGAACAATTCTGAGTAACTCCCAGCACCACAATAGCTATTTTCTAGGCAGCGTTGAATGTTCGTGAAGAGAAGGGCGACTGACGCTGCAATCCTAACAGGATGTAAGAGTGAAGCTTTGTGCTTAGCTTCCAAGGGGACTTCCAGTTTGGCTGGCACATCATGCCTCCCTGGTCCCCACCCTTGCTTTAGACTTGCTTCCGTTAGATGATCATGTATTTTGCTTTTTTTCCCTCCCTCCTTACAGACACAGACTCATGGTTATTTTAGGACATTTCCATGTGCTCAGATTCTTGGATACAGTTATGGCCTCAGCCTCTCTCTTTCCACAATATGATTAAAAACATGAATCATTTGTTGTTGTTGTTGTTGTTTCTTTCAGGATAGATCCTGCAGAGGTCAGAAGATTGTACGGATTAGACCGATGACCTAAAGATGCCATGGTTAGCATCTTCGTTTTTATAGGAACAGTGCTCAGAGACTTCTGTGCTAAGTGTTGTATGCCTGATAAATATATCAATGAATTAGAGTTTAAGAAATGCTGGAAGGGCCAAGAGAGAACTGTGCTTACCTGGGCCACCAGGCAAGGAAGGGACTTGAAAGGAAAAATCCGTTAGATAATTTTCTGCTAAAGTTTCTGTGAGTAATTCTTGAAAGTCTGAGTTAGAGGAATGAATATAGAGATCATTTAACACACAGTTTCAAAGTAACAACATACAGGGATAATTTCACAAGGAGCATAACCAGATGGATGTTGGGGGTGGATTCCGTGATACCATGAAGTTTGTAATCTGGCAACTAGTAAGTGTTTCTGGTTATTATGGAGCAAGATGTAGTTTTCTGGTGGACTATTCATGAACAATTTTGAAGATTCAGGTACCCCTGTCAAAATTAAGGACAAGTGGAGAAAAGGAAAATAGTATTAGTTTGCTCAACGGCTTCTAAGGAGAGTTATACTTTTCTAGACTATGGGAAAATGTTCTCAGCAATTTATCCTGGGATGAGGGATGTAGCCAGAAACTGGCAGGTAGACAGGAATGCACCCCGACCTTATGATTAAACAGGATTTTAAGAGAAAGCGTGGATGAATTCAATAATGCTGAAGCAGTGTAAAAAGAACCTGGAACATTCACTTACTGATGCAAGAGATGTTGATTCTAATACTTTATTTAGGGTTGATCATTGCATGGAATTACAAAGATGCCAAGACAGAGTTCCTTTTATCTTGGATCCAACAGTTTCTAGGAGGAGACAGTTATGAAGAAATAAGCATGATTCATTATGGCATTCTGCAAAGTTCACTCTGGAAAAGAAAGAAGTGAAGAAAGAAGTGGAAGCTTGCATTGGGTTCCCTAAGAACCACTCTAAGATGTTGAGTTTTTATCTTGAGGATAAATAGAAAAGAACTGAGAAAAAAGCAATCAAGCTTATGAATAGACTTGTGCTCTAGAATAAAACAGTTCTGCTAGTAATGTGAAAATTGCATCAAAAGGGAAAAATGAAACTAGAAAATCATTCTGCTAAGAGGCTGTTATGAATGTCCAATTATGATAATAGAACAAAATATTTAGTAAAATTCCGGTAAGAGAGAAGGATAAAATTAGAGAGCTGTTCATTTATATTGCTGACCAATCGCAGGTTGAGAGTAAAAGACCTTAACAAGTTGAACGTGAGTCCCAAGTTTCTAGTCTGAATATTTTATAAGAGCAGTGAATAAGCTATGGAATCATACTCTGATTTATCTACTAAGGTGGACAAAGATGTTGGAAAGAAAATCAACTGGCAAACTGGGAATCTGAGTCCTGCACTGACTATCTCAGTGACTTTGTATAATTAGCTCATTTATGCTCAATTCATTCTCATCTTTAAAATACAGTGATTGGAATGGATGATTTCCAGGGACGTTTCATTCCTCATGGCTCTGACTACTTGTATAAGGAAACTTTACACTTTTAGTGGGAAAACAGAATTGAAAAAAATAAGTTTCTTTTGGATCCAAAGAATCTTAAAATCAATGCAAATTATTTTCATAATATTCATTTCTATGAACTTTTAGAAGAATTTTCATATTCACAGATTTAAAATATTTGGCACATAAATAAACTTATCTTTTGATTCTGTTTTTCCTTAGACTTTATTGTATTTGAAAGAGAAGAGAAGAGAGAGAGCAAGCAATCAAAAAGAGAGAGATCCCTTCCTGCTGGTTCAGATTCTTGGCCAGGACCAAAGCTTGGAATCAGGAACTCAATTGAAGGGTCCCATGTGGATGGCAGGGACCTCAGTACTCGAGTCATGACTTTCTTCCTCCTAGGGTGCCCATTAGCAGGAAGCTGGAAGCAGGAGCAGGGAGCTGGAAGTCAAACCCAAGTACCGGGATGTGGAGCATGGGTATCTTAATTGTTAAGCTACTTGCCTACTTCTCCACGGAATTTTTGAAGAACCTTTGTATTGTTACATAACTTTATCCCATGCAAAGCGTTGATGTGTTCTGTATCTCACCCTTTTTAAAAGCATAACAGGATCAGTATAAGGAGTCCAGAGTTACCACGAGTGAGGGAACTTTTCAGAAAATGATAGGACAGTGGAGAAAGACCAAATATAAAGACACTGTTCCTCACAAAGGAAAGGGAATGAGGCTGAAAGCAGCACTCCTAGATAAACTCTTTAGTTGTAAGGCAAAACAATTTTTTTAATCAAAAAGATTGAAAAAAACAGACCAAAGGAAACATTTGACCAGGAGGATTCAAGAAATACTACAGAAAGCTTTGGCTGGTGAATTACTGACTCCCCCTTCACTGCTCCTTGGAGCGAAGCTTAAGGCTGTGTGGCTTTCAACTCCTTCCATTGGCAGTAAACAGGGCTCCTCCCTACTCCTTGGAGGTCAGTGGGGGAGGGAAGCTGAGCCAACAGGGAAGTCCTCAGTGCGGTGGAGCTTGCACAGTGTGGTGGAGCTCACCCAGTGCTTGGCTTTTCCTCCTGCAGTCTGTTCTCTCCACCAGAAGAGCTTCTAGGAGCTGCTGCCTCTTGAGCTTGAACCTGAGAACAGACACAGCAGGAGATGTGCACAGGCTGACCTGCAGTAGCATGCTTGGATCAGACAACCCTCAACCAACACGGGACACTCTGGTAAGAGGGCAAAATGTTACTTTTGGTTAGAGTTTGAGGTATACTTTGTAATATAGCACTAATAATACTGTAATATGGCAATAGCCAAGGATACAAAAGTAAAACTTATGGTTTTAAAACAGTACTTTAAATTTTGTGAAAATTTGTACTAGAGCTAAAGGTTTGAAAAATATAATCTGTTAAAGATTTCCCCAATTTCTCCCCCCCCCCATATACACACCTGCTTGACTATAGAAAAATTATTACGGAGATGTGTAATTATATCTATTGAATAAAAATTCAACATATAACAATGGAGAGAATTTTATGTCTTACAACTCAGCTTAAAAAACGTTGTCAATCCATTATTTTATGTTTGTCTCTCAAGCACCTTACTTTGAAATAGAGGGTGACAAGTGTCTATCTTTACCTGTATCAAAATAATATAATGTGATTACAATGATCTTAGCATGATGTGAATAGTGAAAATATTTTGTTGTTGAATTTGAGAACTACCTCCTATTATGGGGAGTAGAAGCTCTGTAGGTGAGAACATTCATGGCATGATTCAAACACAAGGAATCCATGGAATTTAGTAGAGGGGTTAAATGAACAGAGCCCACTAGCTCATTTTATTAATATAGAGAATATATTTAATGTATTTCATAGGTATACTTCTAAGATAGCCATACTACTCTCTCTCCTTCTCTCCCTCAATCCTCTTCCATCCTTTTTTTTTTTTTTTAAAGATTTATTTATCTATTTGAAAGTGAGTTACACAGAAAGAGGAGAGGTAGAGAGAGATAGAGATCTTCCATCAGCTGGTTCACTCCCCAATTGGCCGCAACGGCGAGAACTGCGCCATTCCGAAGCCAGGAGCCAGGAGCTTCTTCCGGGTCTCCCACGTGACTGCAGGGGCGCAAGGACTTGGTCTATCTTCTGCTTTCCCAGGCCATAGCAGAGAGCTGGATTGGAAGAGGAGCAGCTGGGACTAGAATTGGCATCCATATGGGATGCTGGCGCTTCAGACCAGGCCGTTAACCTGCTGCGCCACAGTGCCAGCCCCCACTTTTTTTTTTAATTTTTACCAAGACATAGTTCAATCTACTCCATAATCACAAGCTTAATGCACTAGTAACCATAATATTCAATAAGTAAAAAAAGCTGGTTCCCAAAAGACAAATATCATATGTTTTCTCTGATATGTGATAGTCAATATTAGAATACAAAAAAATTTCAGGAAGCTTTTTAACTTCTCTGTTGCTTTAAGGAAATTGACACTTCTGTGGATTACAGATAATAAAAGCTCTTATTTGATAATACTATTGTGAGTTTAAATAAAATCATAAAATTTAAGCATGTAGAAAGAGACCTACCACACAGTAAACACATAATAAATATTAGAATTTTTGTATTATTCATATAAAGGGGAATTCATATTCTTTTTGGTGAATTCTATGATTTTGTGCTCAAATCATCTAGAACTGGATCTGTGGCTGTGATTCATAATGATCAGAATTAACTAAAATTTTTGTAGGTCAAGGTGATGATTGTATTGGCTTCCTCAAGCACTGAGCCTCATTCCCCTACTGCTGAGCCCAACAGTCAGAACTGCTTCAGTGTCTCCAACTGATCCCAGTAATTCCTCCTACAGTAGTAGAATAGAAGGGGTTTTGGATGGCTGGGTGCCAAAGGTCAGAGTTATGTGGCCCATCAGACCCCAAGAAAGTTTTGTCATATTTCTATTAACACTGTGTTCTCCTTTTAGATGGTCTTCTTTTATATGCCTGAAGCTAAATCCAAGTAGTGTGGCGGGATCCTGAATCTGTGTGTTTATTAGGGCCAGTCTGTCTTTTTCAAACCAAAAAGAGGCATGAGTGATGACCTCATATTGACCGCTTCAGGAGAATCTCATTCTCCAGGTGAGATGACACTAATGATAGGCTCTGGGTGCTATTTGTGAAGAAAACAAATCTATAATGACCAACCCTCTGGAGAAATTCAGGGGCTTCTAGCTATTTATCTCTTCTGTGTTGAATTCTACTTAGCTATTCATCCAAGATATTTTATGAACAGATCTACACAATATTAATAGTAATAGTACTGTAATATGGCAATAGCCAAAGATACAAAAGTAAAACTTACGGTTTTAAAACAGTACTTTGCCTCTGCCTGTCAAAAAAAAAAAAACAAAACAAAACAAAAAAACAAACAAACAAAAAAAAAACCAGTACTTTAAATTTTGGGAAAATTTGTACTAGAGCTAAAGGTTTTTTGGTAGCAGATGAGAGCTCCATTCTTCCACGTTCTTACCAATACAGTCATGTGACACTCAATGACAGGGATAAGTTTTGAGAAATGTGTTGCTAGGCAGTTTCACCATAGAGTGTATTTACAAAACCCAGAATGTATGTCAATCACTTACCAGGGCCCCCTGATGCAGTTGAGCTACAGTAAGCAAAAGATGCATGCAGGAGACTGCTTCTGGTATAATTTGGCACATTGCTTTATAATAAACTTTTTATATGAGCAGAAGGAAAACAATCTAACATAATAATGAAAAGTATAAGAATAAATACATAAACCAATGATATAGTCATTTATTATCATTCTCAAGTATGTGCTATGCAAATTTGCATGTGCTATACTTTTATATGACTGGTATGAAGCACAGTAGGTTTGTCTACAGCAGCAGAGTGTGCTACACTATTACACTATGACACTATGATGACTACAATGTCCATAGATTACAGAAATTCTTAAACTCCACTTTAATCCAATGGGATCATTGTCCTATAGATCCATCCATCACTGACTGAAATGCTATTATATAGTGCATGACTGTACTTGGTATGGGCAGAGTTTTAATTTTAGTCATTCTAATGGGTTTGTAGTAATTTATAAATTTGGTTTTAAATTGAATTTTATTAATGACTAGTTATGATGAGTACTTTTCATGTAGAATTTTCCATCATATATCTTCTTTAGAATGTGTCTGTTCAATTCTTTCACTTATATTTTTATTTAGTTTTTTTATTTTGTTAGGTATTAGTAGTTCCTTATATATTTATATATGAAAGTTCTTTATCAGATATTTGATTTGCAAATAGTTTCTTCTAGTGCTCAGTTTTTCATTTTGTAAACTGCATTTTTTTTCTCTGTATTTTGAAGAGTAAAGAGTTTTAGGAAGTCAAACTTGATGGATAGTGTTATTTTTTTAAAAAAGACTTATTTATTTATTTGAAAGGAGGATGACAGAGAGGGACAGATAAAGTCATCTTCCAACTGCTTGTTCATCCCTTACATGACTGTAATGGCCAGGACTGGGCCAAGTTGAATCCAGGAGCCTGGACTTCCATCCAGTTCTCCCACGTAAATGGCAGGGGCGCAAGTTCTTGGGCCCTCTTCTGCTGCTTTCTCAAGTGCATTTGCAGGGAGCTGGATGGGAAGTGAAGCAGATGGCACTTTGATATGGTATGCTGGCATTCTGTGCCACCGTGCTGGGCCATGGATTATGCTTTTTAGGTTGAATTAAAGAAATCTGTGCTTAACTAAATATCGCAAAATGTTTTCCTATATACTCTTCTAGAAGTTATTTCCATGCAACACTTTGGGATATAGGGATTGAAATCATTTTTTACATATGGATGTTAAATTATTCCAGCACCACTTATGAAAATTACTATACTATTTTTTTGTGTCTTTGCTGAAGTTCTACATTCATGTTTGTGTGGATTTATTTATGAACCTTATATTTGTCTGTTTTTATACCAATACTGTGCCATATTGATAACTTTAGCTTTATACTAAGTCTTTAGACTAGGTAATGTTTGTCTTCCAGCTTAGTTCTTTTCCAGCTTGCTTTGGCTAGTCTAGTTTATTTAAATTTTGTGTGACTATTAGAAATAATGTCTACCAAAACAAAACAAAAGATTAAGATGAGGTTTGCTGAGATTTTTCCATGGAATTGTGACAAATCTGTAGATTAATGTTAAGGCTGACATATCTACTACACTGCGTCTTCAGACTCTTGAAAACAGTTCTCTCTCCCCATTTATTTATGCCTGATTTCTCAGGATACAAAGATTATTGGTTTGTGTATATTGATTTTCCTAAAGATTCATTTACTTATTTGAAAGCCAGAGTTAGAGAGATAGAGGGAGAGACAGAGAGAAAGAGATCTTTCATGTGCTGATTGATTCCTCAAGTGGCTGCAATGGCCAGACTGAGCCAGGCTGAAGCTAGGAGCCAGGAGTTTCATTTGTGTCTCTCATGTGAGTGCAGGGACCCAAACACTTGAGTCATCTGCTGCTGCTTTTTCCAAGCTGTTAGCAAAGAGTTGGATTGGAAGAAGAGCAACTGGGACTTGAACAAGTGCCCATGTGGAATGCTGGTGTTCAGCTATACCAGCTATGCCACAACACCAGCCTCTGTATATCGCTCTTTATCTTGCATTTTACAATGTTCTAACAGACTTTCTTGTAATAGAGAGCTGATTAATTTTCTTATAGGAAATATTATGTCTTCCAACTTTACCGTAGAGTCACAGGAACCTCCAAAGCAGAATAAAAAGAGATTTTTTAACTCTAAAATTATCATCATCATCATCTTCTTTCTGGTGATTCTAATAACTACGCTGGCCACAATTTTAGCAGGTAAGTTCCCTGGTTCCCAAATATGCTCTTAATTTTTCTATAAAGTATTTTATCCTTTTCATGCCTCTTATAATTAGAACAAGGCTTTGGGATGATTTCACACCAAACTTGATCCTGATTTTTGTGCAAATGCTCCTCAATGTACAAGGGTGTTATGTCCCAATACATCCATCATAAATTTAAGTTGTCATACCTATCTTATCAGACACCTAGCTTAGCTGCATAGTGTACTGCAGAGTATCAGGAGTCTGTTCTCCTGATGGTGTGGCTGCCTGGGAGCTGCTGTTCACTCCTCTGCTCAACACTGTGAGAGAGTACCACACCACACATCACCAGCCTGGGGAAAGATCAGAGTTAAAATCTGAAGTGTGATTTCTACTGAAAGTGCATTGTTTTCACATCACTGTAGTTGCAAACAAACAAACAAACAAAACCAACCCTAACTTGAACCATTGTAAGTTGGGGACCATCTAAGTATTGGAATGAGCATCAATTTCCTCCTCTGTGACATGAAGGTAGTAGCCATAATAAATAGTGTGAGGATAAAATTAGCTGATGCATGAGAAGTCTCTCTGTAAACAAGTATTGCTAGTATTTTGGTTCTAACCACAGCAAGAGCTTCTGGGTAAAATATAAATCACCACACTGTTTACTTTATCAGGAAAGGCTCAGTGTGAAAACAATGTGAGAAGAAAAAGCAGTATGTCTGGTGACGTAGTTTACAATTTGCCGCAGGCCCTTATGTCTTGGTGGATTGGAAGCATTTTGGGGAACAATCTGTAGCTCGTGGATTAACTCACCCTACTGCACAGGCTCTTGCAAGAATATTGGTGTGTTTTTCTAAGCTTCTTCTAGTTGTGGCTTGGTCTTTAAGAATGAATACTGAGCTCAAGGTCTAAAACATTTGATCTCTCTGGCTGTGCAGCTTGCAATGATGTGGTCGTATATCCAAGTCCCAATCATGTTTCATAGCTGTATCTGGGTAACAGAGAAATAGAAGGAGAAAGATTGTTGCTATCTTAAATGCCAAGATTTTTCCACAAAACATAGATCATTTTTTCGTATTCAAAGCGGTATGCAGCTTTCCTCCTTCATGAGAGTAAACTATGGACCTCTGTCCAACTAGCAAGTTGAAACAATGGGTATTTATAAGTATACTTGCATAAGGATATGCATACACAACTGTGTGTATGATATTCACATGACATTTGTTATAAAGGTATATATAATATGTAGGCATACACTAATGTATAGAAATAAATATACATGCATGTATATGTAAATATATACATATAAATGAGTTTAGATATAGATAAAAATTAATCAAGTTTATTCTATGAACTATATATTATGACTTATTAACATGTACATTTAGCTTGAAGTACAGCCTTTGAGAAAATACAGCTTTTGGCTCTTTTGAGCAATATAATAAGAGGAAGAAGAGGTGGAAGGAGGGATGTGAGGGGGAGGAGGAGAAGACGGACTCTGAGGGGAAGAAGGAGGAAGTGGAGGAGGAAAAGAAGGAATTTCTTGAAACAAAATACATTTTTACAAAGCATTTGAGGCTTTACAAGATGTTCTTCTACAGGACGCTTGCTTTTGAGTAGTCCAGAGAGGTGTGGAGGGAAGCGCTGTTGCCTTTTTTTCCCTTTTGTTTTATGTGAGGAACCGAGCTTCAGAGATGTTAACTGCCTGAAAGCAGTCATGTAGGTTGCCTCCTTCTGAAAGAGCTTATACTTTGGGGCTTCTGTATAAAATAAACGCCCACTGATTTATTTAAAGTAGCTGGCATATGTCCCACGTGTTCTTAGAGAGACACAGTTTCTTCAGGGTGCCACCTGCCAGCTAGGACAGCGCTGTCTACCCCCACAGGTGCTCCTGATCTGCCCTCCATGGCTCTCCTCGGTGGAACTCCCACAGATCCTCCTACTCATTCCCTAGTCGAGTTCTGCTTAAAAGACTTCCTTATGCATTCAGTCACGCAAAGGTGCAGACAGTTCAGAAAGAGGAATAGGCTGCCCACTGCGCTGAAGTTGAACAGCAGGACCAGAATCTCATTTCCAGGTTTTGTTGCTGGTTAATTAAGCCATTCAGCACACAGCATCTCAGTCTCCTTACCTATACAACACAGGACTCAAACCAGATAACTTCAGGGTTGCTTTTGATGCTAAAACCCCCTAAAGGCCCTAAAATCATTAAGCAAAAATAGGCATAGTTGATGCAATTTGAGGGAGGAAAGATAAGCATACTAAACTCTTATGACCCAGATCAGAAGACTGAATTTATGCTTTGGCATAAAAACAGGCTTTTTCTGCTTAATAGATGTAGACATTTAGGTTAAAGGAATCTGTGTTACAATAAACTGAAGATCTAAGCATTCTTCCTCTAGTGTCTTATGCAAACTTAGAGTGCCAGCTTCAATGTCAATTTTAATCCCTTCCTCTGATGAGCTGCTCTCAACACACATTCTCTGGATCTCTATCACTATTCCTTTTGTATCATTCCTTGAGATTGTAATCATAAGTTCGATCTCTATCTGCCCCATTAGACTCTTAGCACAACAGTGGTAGAGACCAAGTCTATAATAAACATATCTGACAGTGCTTGGCACATCGTTTAGACTCAGAAAAATATTGCGATTGAACACATGGGTGTCTATTAGGTAATTGTATATAGATCCCTCATGAGAGGCCTGGGTTAAAGACACTAACTTAATAACTGTCAGTCTATGTGTGACAGTTAACAGCATAGGAATGAGTGTGGTCACCCAGGAGAGTGTTTCTTGGGGACAGCACCGATCGCTGAATCAGAGCAGCAACAGCATCTGCATGAGCAGTGTTCATCAAGGATTTCTTTCAACCTCAAAAGAAAGGAAGTGCGCAAATCTAAGAGCCCCCCTCATTTCGGAAAAAAAGCAGAGTGATTAGGGTGGTCCAAAACCATTCAGACAGAAGCACCAAAGCTAATGTGGCAAATTTCATTAATCTGCACAGATAAATGTTTTAAGTTACTTTCTACTGTGTCTCAGAGCAGGAAGTCCAGGAATTTCTACTCCTTCCATACTTAAAATATAATTAAATTGCTTTCAGTTGAAAAACGCAAACCTCCCACTGAACACACGTCATGCCAGGATGACTGGATTGGTTTCCTGGGAAAGTGCTTCTATTTCTCGGAAAATACAACGACCTGGGCATCAAGTCAGAGCTTCTGTGCCTCCCATGCAGCAACTCTTGCTGTATTCAACACCACAAAAGAACTGGTAAGGCAATGCTTTTGAACTGTTAGGCTTCCAGGGGTTAGAGCTGGTAAGAAGAATATATGCTGGCAATGGAAATGGTCCAGAAGAGACCCTCTTATCTAGGACACAGGGGTCTCCATTTCTCACCTTCACGCAACACTCTGTAGTAAAAGCATGCATCTGGGTCAGACCACAGATAGGGCAGGTCAGAGCAACCCTTGCCGCACAAATTATTAGGCAGTATTTAGGAGATCAGGATCAAGAGTACTTAGAAACAAGGTGCATACTAGGCATCTTCCTCATGTCCTATGTAGAACAATTTATTTGCCACTGCCCATAACAAAGACTCGAGTTAGTCTTCCAAGTCCAACCACATAATAATCTACCTACACTTTCAAATGGGAACAGAACATCAATGTCCAATAAAAATCCAAAACCATTTCCATAGTTTAGACCTGGGAAGCTGCAATCAAGTCTCTGGTAAAGAACTGTTGTTCACCTACCTCTTTAACACCAAAAATTACCATTTATGGGATTATATGAAAAAATAATAAGCAGAATCATAACAAAACATTTGGCAGGGCTATCAGAAAGAAAGAATAATTGAATTGATGTCATTAAAATCTTGGAGTAGGGTGCTGGTGCTGTAGCATAGTAGGCTAAGCCTCTGAGTGCTGGCATCACATATTGTTGCTGGTTCTTGTTCTGCTGCTCCTCTTCCAACCCAGATCTCTGCTTATGGCCTGGGAAAGCAGTAGAAGATAGCCCATGTGCTTGGGCCTCTGCACCCACATTGGAGACCTGGAGGAGGCTTCTGGCTCCTGGCTCCAGCTCTGGCAATTGCACCATTCAGGGAGTGAACCAATGGATGGTAGACTGCTCCCTCTGTCTCTCCCTCTCCTTGTGTGCAACTCTACCTCTCAAATAAATAAATCTTAAGAAAAAAAAAAAAGATCCTGGAGTTTTGGGAACACAGAAAAGAGTAATCAGGCAAACTTAGAAGCATACAATTTAAACTGCTCATGAACATAGAAATAACAGAAATAAAATATTCAATGTTGGAGGTGATAACAGAGCAGTCAGGGGCTCAAGCAACATGGGTAATATTTAACATTTATTGAAGAAGAGTGACTGACCCAAGCTGAAGTTGATTGATAAAACATTCTGACAAAGATTTTTAAATAAGTACTTTAAGGTGGTTTAAAGATACAAATGAAGTCATATATTTCATGCAATAAAATATTCAATTATGGGGGTCGGCACTGTGGCACAGAGGATTAATGCCCTGGCCTGAAGCCCCAGCATCCCATATGGGTGCCGGTTCTAGTCCTGGCTGCTCCTCTTCCAATCCAGCTCTCTGCTATGGCCTGGGAAAACAGTAGAAGATGGCCCAAGACCTTGGGTTCCTGCACCCACGTAGGAGATCCAGAAGAAACTCCTGGCTCCTGGCTTTGGATCGGCGCAGCTCCGACCATTGCGGCCATCTGGGGAGTGAACCATCGGACGGAAGACCTCTCTCTCTCTCTACCTCACCTCTTTCCATGTAATTCTGACTTTCAAATAAATAAATAAATCTTAAAAAAAGAATATTCAATTATTAAACTTAATTGAACAGGGGAGGAAGAGAATTGAGTAAAAAACTCATAGCTATGGAAACAGGACAAAAAGAAAATACTTTAACTTCAAAACACTGCCATTGAAATAGGTTTTAGGGGCTGGCGCTGTGGCGCACTGGGTTAAAGCCCCAGCCTGCAGCGCCGGTATCCCATATGGGTGCCGATTTGAGTCCTGACTGTTTCTCTTCTGATCCAGCCCTCTGCTGTGGCCTGGTAAAGCAGTGGAAGATGGTCCAACTCCTTGGACCATGCATCCACGTGGGAGACCTGGAAGAAGCTCCTGGCTCCTGGCTTCAGATCTGCTCAGCTCTGGTCTCTCTCTCTCTCTCTCTCTCTGGCTCTGCCTCTCTCTGTAACTCTATCTTTCAAATAAATAAAAAAAACTTTATAAAAATAGATTTTAGACATAACAATGAGAAAAATGTAGAAAAAGATAGTATGACAAAATTATAAATGAAGATAAAAAAAAACTGGTTCTCTGAGTAGGCAGGACTAATTACAAAAAAAGAAAAGGCATATTTACCCTAATAAACATAATTACAAACTAATTACATGATTACAAACAATAGTGACTTAAAAGCATAAACTATTGCAAATAATATTATGTCAATTTACACTTTGTAGAAATGGATAAGTGTCTAAAAAGTTATCTAAACAATTGTGTAGGCAATCTAAAAATTGAGGCATATACAGAGAAATGTACATTTCTTTTTTTTAAAGATTTATTTATTTGAGAGGCAGAGTTACAGACAGAGGGAGGGAGCGAGAAAGAGAGTGAGAGAGAGAAGGGTCTTCCATCCGCTGGTTTACTCCTCAAATGGCTGCATCTGCTGGAGTTGGGCCAATCCAAAGCCAGGAGCTGAGAGCTTCTTCCAGGTCTCCTACGTGGGTGCAGGGACCCAAGGACTTGGGCCAACTTCCACTGCTTTCCCAGGCCATCAGTGGGGAGCTGGATTGGAGGTAGAGCAGCCGGGACTCAAACCAGTCTCCATATGTGATACCGGCACTGCCAGAGCTGCAGGCGGAGGCTTACCCTACTACGCCACAGTGCTGATTCCCCTCTGAAATGTACATTGCTTAAAAATGAAAGAGTGAATGTAGGCTGTAGGATCCAAATTAATTAAATGCATAAAGAAAATATTAATCCAGCAGAATTCAGAGAAGGTAAAAGAAAAACATGCAGTCAGAAAACTCATCAATGATAAATCCAAGTGTAACAGCAATCAAAAATAAAATATAAATATATTTAATTCAACTCTTAAGAGAAAATTTTCATATCGATTTAAAAGCAAGCAAGAAAGTCTAGTTGTGTGCTACCTACAGAGACATATTTATGCACATGCCCACCCAAAGACACATGAAAAAGCTGAAATGAAGGAAAAGATGAGAAGCACTATTAACCAAAATCAGATGAAAGAAAAAAGCTGGGTTAGTAGTAACTATAACAGAAAGTAAATTCTATCAGAACAAACTATGAAACCAGAAAATATATAGAGGCTGAATGAACCAAGAGCTATTCAAACACTTTACTGCTAACCAAAGTTCTCTCACTAGGGAACCAACCCTAGAAAGATTTGTTGGCAAATCTGACAAAGCCTTTACGGAATAGATACTCTGTGGTATACCAATTCTTTTAGAAACAAGCAGAGATTAAAGCTACATTATGCCATTGGGTATAAATTGTCCGAAGTTCTCACAGAAATAACACAGCTGATGAAGTAAGCCCTGAATCCGTAAGGACAGTGCACCTCTAAGGTTGTTTCTGAATGTGGAAAAGAAAAAGAGTATGTCAGACGAAAGAATATTCAGGATGGTGAGGCATGTGATATGATCCTGTATATATATCTTATTAAAGGATTTCCTGATGCGTTATTCTGACTACTCTCAATACTGGATTGGACTGAGCCGAAAACCAGGACAGACTTGGCAGTGGATAGACGGGACCATATACAGTGATCGGTGAGTCCCAGTATACAGTTTATACAATTGCATCTGGACCCAAGAGTTCTGTCTACCATGGACACATCTGAGTTATAATTTATATACACCATTCTCTTGTAAGTTTCCTTTGTGGGAGAGACTAAAATGAACACAGAGAAAAAATGGTAATAAAAATCATTATACAGATAATTTAATTCCTATAATATGACAAATATAATGCTTCATAGTCATTATACCATTTTATCTCCACAACAATTCTGAAAGGTATACACAAAGATACTTTCATAAAGTTTATGGAGAATGGAAATAAAAGGAATTTATTTTTGTGTCAAAATTTTGAGGGTTCTTCAAAAAGGTCATGAAAGATGCATATGTGTGAAAAAACTATGCATGGATTTATTTTTTTGCACCAAAATATATTTATTTTTAAATAGCATTTTTCATAAATTTTCTGAAGTACTCTTGTATTTATCTCCAATTTAGCAATGAAAACATTGATGGTCTGAGATGTTGAATAATTAGAATATTTTGCAACACATACTTAAGTTATATTTGTCAATAAATCTTATACTCCCCACCATGTAAGGGCAGATTTTGTTGAGTTTATGGAGCTACATTAGGCCAAACAAAATATGCATTCTGAAATATTAAAAAAATTATTGTGTTTGTTGGGAGTAAAAAGAGCATAGCAAAGGAAATTTTTCTGTGATGCTTCCATTCAGTTCCCATGAATTCTGACACCTTTCCCCACTGCATTTTGTTTCAGGTTTAAAATAATTGGAATTGGAGAATGCGCCTATTTACACAAAACTGGGATCAGCAGTGCTAGCGGCCATTTGGTTAGAAAGTGGATTTGCAGCAAACCAGAGACAAACACACCAAGAAGTTAAGACACCAGAGATCTGCGATCTTTTTACATAAAACATAGCTTCTTTCCCTCTGAAAGAACTATATTACATTAATATAAATGTACATGAAATTCATGTTTAGAAATTTTCCTTTCTGCTCACTCCAAATTTCTCACTCTATTTTTTCTATAAGTATTCTGGATTCTTAGCATTCAGGACACATAACCACTATATTTAAAATTCTCAGATCTATAGAATACGATTTCTAATATATAATGCATTATAATATGAATGAAAATTTTAGTTACATTTTAAGACATTTAATTCTATGAATTCATGCTAACCATTTAAATTGTTTATTTTCCTAAGAACTTTAACTTTCTTGATTTTGGCCCCATCTTACTTTTATCATAGTTTATTAGTTTTATTTTAGTTTTGCAATATTTGCAGTATTTTAAGAGATTCAGACAAGTACCTGGGGTAATCTGAGCATGAAGACTTCACTGCAACAAGAAAACAGAAATGCAAGCAAAATTTGTATCAGATCACCACGTGGGGACCTTCAGTGTGCTCCCTTGTGAATGCCAAGGATGTTGCATAAATGACAGGATGAATAATGTGAATGAGGAAGGAATGGTTTGAACTTTGCTACTCAAACTTCTCAAATTTGAGCAACTAACAAATTGGATTTTGTGTCAGAATGTTTCTCCTGTATTATTTTTTATGTCTACTCAAGCTCCATAATCTCTCTTCAAGAAGGCATAATCTCAGTTATTGTGAAGTCTGTAATATGCATCCTATGGGTGCATCATGTGTACTCATTTATAGAAACTTAAATGGTGATAATAGGAGAGTAACATTGCAGAATGAAACTTGTAAGAGTTTGGGAAAACAGCTTAGCAGTATCTCATTACTATACTCGATCTTCTATTATAGAGCACACCTAATTTCCCATCTTTGCACTCTCTCCCTCTTTTCATTCTCATTTTCAGTTTCCTTTTCTCCCTATGCTTACACCCCCTGTTCTTTCTGATCACTCATTTGGTTATTTTAATCCCAACAAGGGTACGCAAATTCACTGTCCACAGTGAAACAAGTGCCTAGCCAGCTAGAGACTAAAAGAGGAAAATTTCTTTCCAATTAAAACAGATCGTTGATCGTTGTGTAAGTCTTCATAAAATTTAGGACTTGGTTCTAATGGTCTTTACTTAATCCAACTGTATTGTATTATTACTCCATTGTTCCTTTTTTTAAAAGATTTTATTTTATTATTTTTGACAGGCAGAGTTAGACAGTGAAAGAGACAGAGAGAAAGGTCTTCCTTCCATTGGTTCACTCCCAAATGGCTGCCATGGCTGGCGCTGCGCCGATCGGAAGCCAGGAGCCAAGTGCTTCCTCCTGGTCTCCCATGCAGGTGCAGGGCCCAAGGACCTGGGCCATCCTCCACTGGCCTCCTGGGCCACAATGAGCCACGGCGCTGGCCCCTTCCATTGTTCTTCTATATCAAGGATCAATGAAGTTATTTTTCTTGGAAAACAAATGTAAAGAATAGTGACAAGGGTCTTAGCCTTAAATCGGCAATCAGTTTAGACAGTCTGGATAAGTTTAGACTGGATAGATGAAGTTTCAACATTTCAACAAACTTCAGTGGTAGTACAAAGAAGGAAGTGCCCAAGCTACAGGAAGAAATGCCCAGAGAAATCACCTCAGGGAAAATATTTTAAAGTTAGGTAAAGAAAGGGAAGGTTTTCTGTGAAGAAAACTCTGAGAGAGAATATTGCCGGCAGAGTGAAAACCGTGTGTGAGGCGTTGCACAATAAAGAAATTCTGAGTCTGGACACGCTGAAATGGAAGAGGTGTGAGGTGGGGGTAGGAGCTGGGGGGGAGGGGTAGGGAAAAGAGCGAGGCCAGGACCAGAGTTAGAGGGAGTGAAGTGCTCTGACAGATTCGGGTAAGCCTTCATGCTCTGCAGTAGTCAGAAATCACTACACACTTGCAAAGAAGACAGTGGGATCGCCAACTAAACAATTTAAAAAGGTAACTCGCAGAACATTCTAAAAGCTACGTGATATCCACAAACAGTGGCAGTGGGAATGGAGGCGTGAACGGGTCCAGGAATTTTCAGAGATGAACTCAGAGAATATGGGGCAAGCGGGACAAAGGAGACATAGGTGTTAAGAAGGAATTCCAGGCCGGTGCCGTGGTTCACTAGGCTAATCCTCCGCCTGTGGTGCTGGCACCCCGGGTTCTAGTCCCGTTGGGGTGCCACATTCTGTCCAGGTTGCTCCTCTTCCAGTCCAGCTCTCTGCTGTGGCCTGGGAGTGCAGTGGAGGATGGCCCAAGTGCTTGGGCCCTGCACCTGCAAGGGAGACCAGGAGGAAGCACCTGGCTCCTAGCTTTGGATCACTTTGGTGCACCAGCCGCAGCAGCCATTTGGGGGGTGAACCAACGGAAAAGAAGACTGACCTCCCTCTCTCTCTCTCTCTCTCTCTCTCTCTGCCTGTCAAAACAAACAAACAAACAAAAAAACAAACAAAAAACAAACAAAAAAACAAAAAAACCCCTTGGCTCTTAGTAGCTCATCAAGATTTAAGGAAACAAACAAACAAAAAACAAAAACAAAACAAAAAAAGGAATTCCAGATTTCTGTCTCAAGCAATAAGACGAATAGTAGTGCTTTCTATCTACTGATAAAGAAAGAAAAGGATATTTTAGACATACTGAGTTTCAGAAGCCTGTAGGAAATCCAGGTGGATGTGTTTAACGAAAAACAGGCTGTGCCGAGCTGGAAATAAGGAGCAAGAGGCAGCTGGGTATGGGAAACAGATGCAGACAGCTGCTGTGAGACCTCAGGGACCAGCCTCATGATAAAAGGACATTGTTTGCTTAAAGAAACGTGTTTTTCCTCTATGCATATGTGTTTCTTTAGTGACTTTCTAATTAATTTTTTAACTGTTTAGGTGACGTATAGTTCCCTAAATTTAGTCATTTTTGAGAGTTGAATCTGTACCTACAAAATGATATAACTTCAGATAGTAACTCAATCCTTGTGTATTTACAATGGGATTAAATAAAGCAATGAAAATCTTTCAAGAGATAGTTGCTACAATGCTTGGTCACATTGGATCTGTACTACTTCTTTTTTTTTTTTTTTTTTAGAGACAGAGAGAAAGGTCTTCCTTTGCCATTGGTTCACCCTCCAATGGCTGCCGTGGCTGGTGCGTTGCGGCTGGCGCATCGCGCTGATCTGAAGCCAGGAGCCAGGTGCTTCTCCTGGTCTCCCATGAGGGTGCAGGGCCCAAGGACTTGGGCCATCCTCCACTGCACCCCCCGGGCCATAGCAGAGAGCTGGCCTGGAAGAGGGTCAACTGGGACAGAATCTGGCACCCCGACCGGGACTAGAACCCGGGGTGCCGGCACCGCAGGTGGAGGATTAGCCTATTGAGCCATGGCGCCGGCCTGTACTACTTCTAATACCAAGTAGTACATGTAAAATCTTTCTTTGCTCTTTCAAGTAATTTAGTTTATCAATTATATGATTATTGTGTTAGTCCTGTCAAATAATAGAGAAATGATGTCAACAATCTGTATGACTCATGGCTTTTGTGGTACCTAATGCTGTTTCACCCTTAATGATATAATTTTTAATGTTATCTATGTTTAATCTCAACTTCATTAATTAATATTAAAATGTTACTCTCATGTTTACTAAATAATACTAATAGTATTTTAAAGAAAAATGGAAACTTTTGGTTTTTTAAAATTAAAATCACAAATGTTTTCACAACTCTCTTGAAGGATAATAAAGGATAATTACACCTGGAGCTGCAGATCTCTGAAATGCATGTAACGTGTAAGAGTTAAAATTTTTTATACTTGATTATACTTGAAATTGCATTTTTAAAGTATAACATATGCACTAACGTATAAGTTTTCACAATGATTAATGGGAAAGTCTAGCTGTCCAAAAATATTTTAATTATGTCTTTTGATGGGGAATATACTGAGAATAAATGAGGAGAAAGATGTTCAGGAGTATAATCCCACTGTGTGAGAACCATTGGAAGAGAATTCATTTGATTGTAGAGACGCTAACTTGGGAATGAGACACTAGCACAGCTGAGTATTTGGTCCCAGAATAGTAATCAAGTAGGTATGAACAATTAATAATTAAAGATTTATGGATCACTGTTTTTATCTTCCTGGAATTCTTTTGGTTTGGTCTAGCAATACTTCACATGCATCTTAAATTTACACCTTTGAGTTGCCAAAAAGCCACTGTGAATTTTAACTATGAAAATAATCCAAATTTATTTGCCTTCTGAAAGTTCATCAGACTATTTTACAATTTTAACAAACTCACTAATATACTTTTAGCTAGATTAAAAAAAGAGCATACTCTAATGAAAGAGGATATATCATAATTGATATCACATTAATACAAAGATCACAAGAGATTATGAAAATCATACACCAACAAATTGACTGCCTAGCAGAAATGGACACATTCCTAGGTATGTAAAATGTAACAAGACTGAATAATGAACATATAGAAAATTATAACAAACCAATAATGAGTGAGGAGATTGAATCAGTGATAAAAACTCTCCCATCTAAGAAAACTACATGGGTTGAATTTGACCAAACATGTCAAGAACTAACTTTAACCTTCCTCAAACTCTTACAAAAAATTGAGGATAGAGAAAGGATAGTTCCAAAAGCATTTTAAAAAGCAGTTTTCCTGATATGCAAGCCACACAAGGACATTACAAAAAATGAAAACTATAAGGCAATATCTCTGATGAACAAAGGTGCCAGGGTGCCGGCGCCACAGGTGGAGGATTAGCCAAGTGAGCCGTGGTGCCAGCCGCTTTTTCTCTTTTTAAGATTTACCTATCTATTCAAAAGTCAGAGTTACACAGAGAGAGGGAGAGACAGAGAAAGAAACATCTTTCATCTGCCACATCACCTTCCAGATGGCCTCAAAGGCCAGAGCTGGTCCAGTCCGAAGCCAGGAGCCTGGAGTTTCCTCTGTGTCTCCCACATGGGTGGCGATGGCCTAAACACCTGGGCCATCTTCCACTGCTTTCCCAGGTGAATTAGCAGGGAGCTGGATCAGAAGTGGAACACACAGGGCGTGAACTGGAGTGCCCTCATGGGATGCTGGTGCCTTACCCGGTGTGCCACAACACTAGTCTCATGATCTCTTAATTTGCCACAGTTTACTTTCATTTTTTCCCAGTATTTCATCTTTTTCCTATTCTTTCATTTGTTCCCTCCCTTCTCTTACGATTTTTTCCCACATTCCTCAAATGTTCACATTAATAAAATTGCATCTATTTTTATTATATTCATTAAGTTAATGAACATGGTTTTGTGTTCTCTGTGTTCATTTAAAATGAGTTAAAAATTCTGTATTTTAGTTCTTTTCAGATATAAATACTTCTGTAAACATGTATGTGTCTGGTAGATAGTTCAGCATGAGCAACTGGGGAGGGGCCACAAGACCCTCATCCAGGGTGAGACCAAGGGACCTGATCTCCACCAGGACCCACCTGAGACTGCCCACTTCGCAGTTTAACTTGTGGATCAAGTATCCTGATAAAATGGGAACAGCTGAAATGGAAAAGTCTAGTCTACGGCTGCATGTGCAGTGTCCAAAGGTATGCAGTTCCCGGATGTCAATCACAAGCGCCATTCATGAGCTTCAAGGCTGCCTCACTCCTCACTAGTCTTTGTCCACCATAATTGAGGGGTGAAAGCCACAAACCAGGACGAAAGCATGCCATGTTCTCACTACTGGCCGGTCCCTCTCTTGGAGCAGATGTTCATAAGCTTTGGCTTTACCCTGCTTACTTTCTTCTCTCTGAATTTGTCTAACTCACTACCACATGGCTGAAAACCAAGGCAAGCTGGCCTCTGCTGGTGACATATGGATTTGGAACAAATGTGGTTTTGTTTTGTTTGTTTTAGATTCAGTTTTACTTGCAGTGGATCTAAGGCCTTACAAGTGGGGTCTCCATTGGTAAACTTAACAGCAAACATTCACGTTGTATCTCTCTGTTCCAAGTGTAGGTTGAAAACAAAAACACAAATGACTTGGAAATTTCCTTTATTTGCCCATGTAAATTAGCACTTAGGCTTTTTACACAGTGTTTATTTCTCTGTTTGGAGGTCTAGATTACCTAGACATGGAGGAGATCATGAGACTTGTAAATTTAGGGCTGGGGAAACCACAGAAAATGCTACAAGCAGGTACTCAATAGCCCAAGTATTTATTTATCATCTGTGATACATCAGGTATCCTATCCCATAAAGTCATGAGGATTATTGGCCTTGCAGTGTTTATGCTCTATTAAAAAATACAAGTAATTAAATAAGTAAGAGTCAAGAAAAACAGAGTGCTGTTAAGATTCCATAAGCCCAAAGAGCTATGAAAATGTATATCAAATCTATATAATTCAATCTGGAGTAGAGACTGGTCAGGAATGCATTTTCCTCCAAATGGCATTTCACTGGTGACCTGAAAAATAAGAAAGAGTTACACAGGTGAGCAGAAAAGGGAAACACATTCATTACACTTAGGCCCACAATATAAGGCTAGATGAGAGGCGAGAGAAAATATGACACATGTGAAGAACTGAACAGAGTTTAGTGCGGTCACATCCAAAGGACAAGGTTGGAAGAGGGGTGGGAGTGGAAAGGACCCAAGACATGAAGCTTTGAGGAGAGGATGAAAACCTTCAAGCAATGGGAAGCAACTTGAGGGAGTTAAGTGGTGAACTGTGTGAGCTGAAGTGTATAGGGTGACTATGATCACAATACGGAAAGTTGAACTTGACAGCTAAAGCTAGAAGTGGTCAAAAAGATGGTTGCAGTAATCCAGAATGATAAGTTAGATACAAAGATGTGGTATCTGGTAAAATTGAAAGGACTTAAATGAATGTTTGAATATTGAGTGTCAACAGCAAGAGGAAGTCGTAGGACTCTGGCTTTAACTATGTGGACATGTTTCTGTACCCCACTAAGTTAATGAGTTTAATTTTTAAAAAAGATTTATTTATTTGAAAGTCAGAGTTACATCGAGAGAGAGGAGACAGAGAGAGATCTTTCATTCTCTGGTTCATTGCCCAGATGGCCACAATGGCCAGCAATGGGCCAGGCCAAAGCCAGGAGCCAGGAGCTTCATCCATGTCTCCTACATGAGCAACAGGGCCCAGGTTCTTGGGCCATCTTCCAATGCTTTTCCCAGGCCATTAGCAGGGAGCTGGAACAGAAGTGGAACAGCTGGGTCTTGAACCGGCACCCGTATGGGATGCCGGCATTGTAGGCAGTGAGTAGCTTTATGCCACAAGGTTGGTCCCAGTGAATTTAATTTTTAACATATGAAGTATGAGAAACCTTGAGATATTCAAACAGAGATATCCAGTAGGCAGGCAGAGATGAGAAACATGTGCTTGAGAGTTATGAATAAATTGATAGCAACTGAAGTTATGTAATGGATGAGTTCAGCTAGGAACTGTATATGGTTGAAGACTCAGGAAAAATTCCGGGGAATAGCAGTGTCTAAGGGATCAGAAGAGGAAAATTGACACTCCAGAGAAGACTAGGGAGAGACTGGATGGGGAGGGAAAAGTTCAGGAGATCATTGCATCATGGATGCTAAGGTTAGAGAGTATTTTTGAAGACAAGCTAGGTCAGTAATGAGCAAAGTTGCGGAGGGTTAAAGTAGGTAAAGTTCTCATTATACTTAGTGAGAAGAAAGCCATCGGTAACACAGTGAGAACATTGTACTGTAATAATAGGAAAAGCAGAAGCCCGATTTTAAAGGAACTTAGAGTGTGAGGTAGTAAGCAGTAAAGGCAGGTATAAATGAACAGCTTTTAGGAAGTTTGGCTTACAACAGGTGGGAGAAATTGGGCAGAAACTAGAAGCCACATGTGGTTGAGGGAATTTTTGTTGCAGTCTCGCATGTTTTGCTTTTGATAGAAAACAAAGAAGAGGACTTCAAAGGGAGATAATCAGGGATGTGGTCTTTTTGATAAAATTATAAAGGTTACAATCCTTAACACAGACTTGGAGAATTTGATTTAGGCAGGAAGATGTATACTCCTTCGTAAGAAATAGGAGAGAAAGAAAAAGTAATAGGCAAGAAGCAGACAGATGTGCAGACTCAGTGCTAAGAGGTTAGGAATATTCATCTAATGGCTTCTCCTTTATCTTAAAGACAAATACAAGACCCTTTGCTAATGGATTGTGAGAGGTGCAGGGAGTGAAGTATTGAGGAGACAGAAGGATAGTTTTTATCTGAAATAGTCCCACTATCAAGAATGGGAGATTACTGTGAAAACGTAGTGCTAGTGCCCAAGTAAAAGTGGGTTGAAGCGGTGTGCTTTGATTTGTAGCAACACAAATCTATACTGTCTTCTTTAGCATCATATTTGTCATAGAAACTACCTATTTCTGTAAAGATATACAAATGTAAAAATATCTGTGAACAGTTGTCAAACCAGGCACAGATTCTTTATTAATTAATTAACTAATGAATTATTCTGAGGCAGAATCCAATCACTGGCTCACTCCCCTGATGCCCACAATGACCAGGACTGGGTCAGGAGAAAGCTGGAAACCAGAACTCAATCCAGGTCTCCCATGTGAGTGTCAGGAACCCAATTTCTTGAGCTGTCTCCACTGCCTGCCAGAGCTTGCATTAGTAGGAAGCCGGAGTCAGGAGCCAGAGCCAGATATGGAACCCAGGAACCCTGATATGGGACACAAGTGTCTTAATGCTGGGCCAAAGGCCTGCCCCGTGAACATTTCTTTGTTGGGAAGGATACCTGAGATCAGTTTAGGGGTCATTCTCTGATGGTGAAGGAATCACTTCTTGACAAATCCAGTAACTTTGAATGAAACACTTCTCAGAGAAGATACCCTTCTTGGTTATCACAGCACAGGCATGCTCTTCCACTTGGCCTGTGACTTGGAATCTGAAAAGGAAAAGACGCGTTAGTTCATGGGAGCAGGACTCTTTCTAGCTATCTGTCCTCAGTCTGCTGAAAGCACAGCTCTGTACGTTGCCTCTGTCCTTGGGCTTGCGTACTCTACAAGCTGTTGATGCAAGCCATGGTAATACATGGATAGGGAGTGCATACTGAGAACACTGCCTTCATTAAGAAAGGAAATGATCCAGATGATTTCTTAACCAAAAGTGATCATTCGTAAATGACCCATAGAAATAAAAATGTGAATTAATAAAAATATTGTTTTGCAATTTCCCTTTTTTACACTTGATGTTAGCCAAAAGGATGAGAAGCAATGTAATTTCTTTTTAAATAAATATTTATTTATTATTTATTTGAAAGGTAGGGTTAGTACGCACATGCATGAGACAGAGAGAAAGAGGGAAAGAGAGGGAGAGAGAGAGAGAGAGAGAAAGAGGGATCCTCCATCTGCTGGTTCACTCCCAAATGGCAGCAACGGCCAGGGCTGTGCCGTGCGCATGCCAGGAGCCCAGAGCTTCCTCCTGGTCTTACATGTGGGTGCAGGGACCCAAGCACTTGGGCCATCTTCTGCTGCTTTCCCAGGTGCATTAGCATGGAGCTGGGTCAGAAGTGGAGCAGCTGGGTCTCAACTGGTGCCCATATAGGATGCTGGCATCACAGGCAATGGCTTAACCCACTACCCCACTACGCCAGCCCCAGTTTTTGCAATTTCATGCAGTTATATGAAAACTAAAGTTACCACAGAAAATCCTGACTCAATCTTTTTGCATGTTTGAAACAACTGAATGCCAGCTATATAGCAGACAATGCCTTAGTCATCATTTGAAGATTTGGGAATATCGGCACATCCAAACATATACATGGTTTAAAAAAAATATGAAACCATTTTTCTGGGGAAAGCAAATCAAACTATTCCTTTTCCTCTTTCAGACCCAAATCCCAAATGACACACCTTTGAAAAATTTTTTAAGTGTTTTTGATGAACCTCCTTGATTCTACAGAGGACCCTAAGAAAGAAGATTTCTCCTTGATACAAACAGACTTCACTGAAGTGAAGCTGCAAAGCTGCAGATGTTGCTAAAAGTGGCCACAGCAACTCCCGGTGGGGGAAGAAGTGAGAGTTACAGTGAGGAGTAGGGGAGAAGAGCTCAGCACCCCGACATTTTTTAAACTTACCTGGACGTCTCAGCAAAAGGATTTCTGTGCATACATGTACATAAGGGGATACCCAAATCTTTCACCCTTGTCACAAAAGAAGGAAAGTCCCTCTTAATTTTTTTTTCCATGATGTTTAAATCAACTTCTCCTGGCTTTGAAAAATACGCCACAGGGCAATTTCATCATCTTAAAAAATCAGAAAATAACTCAATTTTAAGGACCACATTAGTAAATGAATAGTTCTAAGCAAGTTTGAGTGTAAATGGATAGAAGGGGCTTTAAAAATAAGTTGGAAAAAAAAATAAGTTGGTAGAGTTCTATTAGATATAATCAAAGATGAAATTTTAAAATTAATCTAATGTATGTGTTTACTGTGGTTTGGATATAGTTTGAAGGTGGTTCATGTGCTAGAAACTCACCCCCATGTGGCAGTGCTGAGGTGGTGGCACCTCAAAGAATTAGTCATTCGGGGTGCTGGAAGAATGAATGCTGGTATCGTGAGCATGGGTTCTTGTAAAGCGAGACCAGCCCAAACACCTGTCCTCTTCTGCACGTGGCTGGGTCGCTTCTGATTCCTCTGCCAGGATGTGACACAGTCAGGGGCCAGTTTGGGCCCTCTGCCCACGAGAATCGTGAGACAAAGAAGCCTCACGTGTATTGTTTAGCAATAGAAAACAGAGTAACACTGTGTGAAATGGAACAGGTGTGGAATACAAACGTTGACAGGCTGTGAGAGGTCTCAGAGAAACTCCTCATTTGCAGGGTCACCTTCTGTACCAGTGGTGGGCCTGCTGACTGACTCTGGGCACCAATACTCTTCCCAATCTCCTTTGCATCTGTTTAAGATGCACACTTCCACTTCACATTTCCAAGAAGGTTGGTGAAATTTTTGATCATCATTGAAACCTTATACCAAGAGGAGAAAGGCTCACCTGGAACCCCCCCCCCCTTTTTTTTCTTGTTTGAATTTATCTGTAGGGTATTTTTTTTTAAGATTTTAAAATCTTTTTAAAATCTTTTAAAAAAGATTTTAAGGTCCTCCCTCCCAACTGGTTCACTCCCCAAATGGTCACAACAGTCAGAGTCAGGCTGAGCCAAAACCAGGAGCTAGGAGCTTCCTCTGGGTCTCCCATGTTGGTACAGGGGCCTAAGCACCTGGGCCATCCTCCGCTGCTTTCCTAGGCCATGAGCAGGGAGCTGGATCAGAAGAGGAGCAGCCAGGACACAAACCAGTGCCCATATGGGATGCTAGCACTGCAGGCAGAAGCCAAGCAGAGGTCTAGCCCACTATACCACAGCCCCTAGCCCCAAACCCTGTGTTTTTGCCTGTTTTTTGGGATTAGTGTGTAACATCAGCTTACAGAACAGATGTGATAAAAGTACATGAAGATGTTTTTTGAAACCTCCTGAATCATTAACTGAAAGCCTAAAAATGAAAATAAATAAGTTTAGAAGTCTCTATTTCTCTAAGTCAAACGATCTAATCATTCACACGTCAAAAGAGATCAAGCTCCAGAGTTTACAGGAACCAACAGTCCACCTGGAGATTCAGGTAGCCACCAGCAGGAGTTTGCTGCTTCAACCCATATTTCTTCAATGATATTCAAAGGCCAAACACTCACAACTGTAGATTTAATGGTGTGCCATCCAGCCAGGTCCATGTCTTTTGTGGATGTGAAACATTTAATCCAATCCAAAAGTAGATTCCATCCTGTATGTTACTCTGTATGAAATCCTGAGAAAGGGAGTCCCGAGAGAATTAACTGAATTCAACCTCTTAGCATAGTCTCTTCTTGGCTTTTGTCCAGATTTAACAAAGTTTTGATACTTATATCCTTAATGAGGAAAATTTTAAAAGTGGTTCCCTATCTATTTAGGGAAGAACAATCATATAGAAATGTCTTCAATGTACGTGATTCTTGCATACATTGTGTGAAGGCCCATGTTGCTTATTGGTATTCAAGAAGATGATGTGAACAGCAACTCATGAAGGAGTGGCAAAGGGTTATAAAGCAACAGCAAAGAATAAATAAGCCTGCCAGAGGAATCCACACCTACTCATTGCTTTTGCCAACCAACTTGTAGCCCTGAAAAAACACCTGTGCCTACTCTGAAACTACACAATAACCAAACAAAAAAATCCATCTTCTCTACCCAAGATACGAAAGATATGCTACAGATCGGTGTTTCAAAAAGAGCTCCCATCTTTCTCTCAAAGAGACCAGGTGGAAGGATGGCCTGGATAGTAAATGATCCTGGGTTAAACACCCAGCTTTGCCAGTTATATGTTGTATGAAATAGGCCAGCTCTGTATCTGTGAAGGTCTGCAGATTCCTCTTGAGGATGCAGAAGTTTTAACCTGCTTTGCAGATTCATTGTCAGCACTAATTTACTTAACATTTGTAAAATGCCTCACTTAGGGCCAAATGCGTGGAAGGGATTCAGCAAATGTCAGCAATTATCAGTACTACAATTCTAATCTCATGAAATGTACCCCTGCAGGTTCTTCAAAAAGCTCATGGGAAAACAGAATTGGAAGATAAGCTTATTTTGGTCCAAAAAATTTTGAAATCTATGTGCAATTTTCATAATATGTGTTTTCCATGAACTCTTTGAAAACCCCACACATTTCTCCCAGCTTTGACAGGGCTACTCTTCATGACCCATTAGCTCTTACCAGTTCTGCCTTGTCTTGGATCATCAAGAGATGTGATTTTTTTACTGAACAGGATTTTTGGCTATCGATCCACGATTTAAAATTCATGAAAAACTTATAGCATTTTCCTTTTTTCTGCAGCCAGTCATTAGGGCATACATTTGCTGAAATGGAAAAATAGGGAGAAATAGGAATGAGAAAGAGGTTTAAGATCAAAAATGATTTTTGTTTTCATTTTTATTTCATTTTAAAATTTAGTTATTTATGTGAAATACAGAGAGATAGACAGACCGATTCTGCCCCCCACCCCACCCCCGCCCCGACACACACACAGAGATCTTTCATCTGCTGGTTCACTCACATTTGTGTGTGAGTGAACCCAGGGCTGGTCTAGGCCAAAACCAGGAGAGCAGATCGAAAGCTGAGTCTGCTACACAGGTGGCAGCTACTCAAGTATTTTAACCATCATCTGCTGCTTCCTGGGACGCCATTAACAGGAAGCTGGAGCCAGAACTCTAATCCAGGCACCCTGAGGTGAGATGCAGGTGCCCAAATGGTTTTTTAACCACTGAGCCAAAAACCTGTCCCAGCACTATTTTTTTTTTTTTTTTTTGGGACAGGCAGAGTGGATAGTGAGAGAGAGAGAGACAGAGAGAAAGGTCTTCCTTTTGCCATTGGTTCACCCTCCAATGGCCGCCACGGCTGGCGTGCTGCGGCCGTTGCACTGTGCTGATCGGAAGGCAGGAGCCAGGTACTTATTCTGGTCTCCCATGGGGTGCAGGGCCCAAGCACTTGGGCCATCCTCCACTGCTTTCCTGGGCCACAGCAGAGAGCTGGCCTGGAAGAGGGGCAACCGGGACAGAATCTGGTGCCCCGTCTGGGACTAGAACCCGGGGTGCCGGCGCCGCTAGGTGGAGGATTAGCCTATTGAGCTGTAGCGCCGGCCCCAGCACTAATTTTTAAAACTGTTCTCTTAAAAGTAAGAGTTTTCCACCACTTTCACAAAATGAACCCTCCTCCACTGATGAATAATCTTTAGTCAAGGTAAATGCCAGACATACTCATTATTACGCTGTTTATTGAGCAATTACTGCATATCAAATACTTATTGAATTTGCTACAGAGGCATAAGATTGCTAACTTGATAGTCTTCATTTTACAGATCAGGATGTTAAAGGTATCGTAAAATTAAGTGCAAAGTGGGAAACTGAAGTAAAATTTAAATAACTTCCTCAGGGTGACATGGCTGATAAGTCAGAGGGAACTTTAAAGCCTTGGCACTATTCTTACATTTAGACAGGCTATAGAGAAAATAAAAGATGATGGGGTTTGGAGGCACTAAAAGGGTAAACTTTCAGCCATCTGATCTCGGACTCTCCGGCCGCGTCATGACTGAATGGAGCTGACTGTCAGGCTTCACAGCAGCCCACACGCTGTACACAGAACTTCTTCTCGGACAGCAAAGATCCGAGTGAAATATTAACTTGGTAATTTTAGCAATCAAAATCCTAGCAGCCTAATGAAAGAAAAGCAGGACGTTTTAAACACAGGATAAGTAGAAACATGTTCCTGTCTTTACAGCAGGCACCACCTTACAGCTCTACCAGGAATTCCCAGGAGGCTTTGCAACAATTCCAGATCAAAGGGGGAGAGGGTCACCTTTGAAAACAGACAGCCTAAAAGGTAGCAGGAGTGAACCAGCCGCGAAATTGCTCCTTCAAAGCACCTTTCTGATGCAGAAAAATTTATTTCACATCATGTTTTCTCAGAACTTTGCAAAGCAAATAGTTCACTATGACCCATGTCTATGTTTTGACCACCAGATTTATCTCTATGGAAAAGGAAAACTTGAAACCGATATTCAAACATATCTGTATTCAGAAATATGCACACACAGGTTTCAACTAATTTTTTATGTTAAGCTGAATCATAGGTACCTAAGTATTCATTCTATCTGTTTAAGATAGTAATTATTTTCATAATTCAAATGCATAATTTTTAAAGTATTTATGAAATGGGATAAAAACTTATCTAATGTGCTTTTATCAAATGAGATGAATATGAAAATGTAAACTATAAAATACTTTATAAAAAAGTTAATTATTATTGTTACAGCCTAGTGGGTTTCTTAGAGTAGGAGGAATCACACTATTTGGGGAAAATATCACGTGCTGAGTTTCTGATTTTAATAAGCAAAGTACCCTAATTCTTCCTGCCCTCTTCCCAGGAAATTTCATTTTATAAGTAGTAACCAAAAGCATATGGAAATATTGTATCAATAAACTATGGCCAGGAAAAATACTCAACAATATACCCCAGATCAGAACTGAGGACAAATCTTTGCTAAAATCACCAGTTTGGTTAGTTTTGCTGAAACTCAAAATTATAAATAATTGAAAACAATAGATTTTGAGCTCCCCTGCTTTTCAGAGGTTTACTTTGCTATGGTAGCATTTGGCCTCTAAAATAAAGCACGAATTATTCACTTCACTCTATTTGTCTAAAAGCCACTTGGCACAAGCCTAATGTGCAGCCTATATCAGTGCAGTGAGATGGAGAGGAAGAGGTTCATTGAGAGTTATGGTGATTTAGAGTGTGAAGAGCTGGCATTCACACATGCCAAGAATAAGATCATGGAGCGAACCGAGTAATTCTTGTGCCGTGGTGCCAGGATTCTCAGAGGAGAAGCCCTCCAAATGACAGAAGGAAGTTCAGAGGCTCCCCTGGATGAGGAATGATACAGCAGTGCCCTGTGCCGACCTATTAAGGAGCTGTGATAAAAGGACTAAATGCATAAGGATGCCTAGAGTCATATTTTCCATGTTGTATTCTATCACTGTGAGTGTCAGTATTTAACTAGAATATGGTTTCTAATTATCACAACTTAACATAGAACCAGAAATATATTTTAGTATAGTTCATTGTATTTGAACTGGGCAAAAATGTATAGTTCTTCATAGATTTTACACTTTGGAAATAGTTGTAACTTAAAAGGAAACTTTCACTTTCTTGTTCTACATTAAGTACTTATAAATAAGAGAAGACTGAACACCTCAGTTCTTTATGAAGAGCCTAAAAAAGGTAAGTAAGCATTTTAAAGATAAAAAATATAAATATCCAATATATGTAACTTTATATTTAATTTCCCTATTATTTAAGAAATACAATTAAAATGAAGTATATGTGTTTTTATCATAGTTTGGTGTATGCTCTGAACCATGCGATTATACTGGAAGGATTCAGAGTCGGGAGTTGCAATGCACAGCTGAATATTCCAAAGCGAAGAACTGGATTGTCACAAGAGAAGACTCCAAGTTGAAAGGTTTTGCTGCTTTTTATTAACTTACAGATGCTTGCTTAGCTGGAGGTTGGAGTACAAAGCGAAGAACTGAGCTGTGAGAAAAGGGCCTGCTCGAAGCTCACAGAGCCACCTAGGCCATGTTAGAGGCTTAGAGTGTATTCTGAAGAATCTGGAGTGTCACCAGAGTGTGTTAAGCACAGGAGGGACCTGGCCCCTGTGTTTTGGAAAGATCCTACCAACTGAATACACACCTAGACACCACCTGTAAATTGGTAATTAGCAATTCCCTTCTTCTTGAGACATACCAGTCTCCAATGGTCTTGCATTTTAATCTTTTGACATTTGCACTTTAAAAGAATGATTTGGAACACCTTAATCATATATTATAAAAATAATAATTACAGAAACAGTAATCATTCTCATATATAAGTAATATCTGTGTGAATAAAAAGATAAGGGCAATTGGTCATAGAGTAATAGACAAGCAATCAACAAAACTAACAAAGCTATTTTAGGCCAAAGCATCCTACAGCTTTCCATCAAATCCTTCAGATTTCCACCAAATTTCTTCAAAATTGATTGCATCTTAAATTCTCATGCAAGTAGACTATTCTAATCATTAATACATATAATGCTATCTGGGTGATGTTCCACTAGGTAGGATGGGTGTTCCAGGAGCATGGCTCTGTTGTGGTGAAGCAGCTGTTGTCATGTGACCCTTAACCCATGCTCCACCACCTGCACTTCAGAGACACCAAAATCCACTCTGGAAGCTCCTCCAGGGCTTCCGTCAGGAAAGGGCTTTAGTAGATCCAACTGCACACAGCAGTGCCTGCAGGTTTGATCTTTGCCATCTCACACATTGATCCTGAGATTCCTATGGGCAGTGACTGTTTCTTAAAATCTCTGCTGTCTCATCAGTAAGCCAAATATTTTGTTTATGACTAATAAATATATAAACTCAAGTAAATAAGAACTTGGAAAATTGTGAGAGATCGTGGTTACTGGTAGAACAAGCATAAAACCTGAAGTAGTAGCAAGTTAGCTACTGGAGACGGTGGTATGGGAGAGCAGCTTGGCAGTGGTGAGGGTGTAGAGCAGTGACCTGGATAAATGAGCAGGACCAGAATGGGAGGCAGTAGCTGCAATAAGAGCATGACTTTCAGAGCGCTGTGCCCCTGCGCCACGTGTCCCTCTGCCAGCAGGTGTGTGAATTGAAGGCATTGGAAATTTAACAGATGAAAACAGAGGCCTTCTCGCAGCTTCTCTTATCTGTCCAGATCTGACTGAAAGCAGAAACTTCTGAGAAATGAGCTACCATAAAGTCCCTCTTTGCATCTTTATTCTCAGCAGAAAAACCAAGTGTAAACCTAGACCACAAATCCCCTTTCTGAAGCAGGTTTTTTTTTAACCATGAAGAAAATGGGAAACCCGCTCAGTTTCCTATCTCCAGTTTGTTCCCCTTCATTCTTCCTAAAGAAATGCGTTTGCTGCTCCCACAGAGGCATTTCCTCCAGTCTCTGTTCTCCCTACCCGGCTTGCTTAACCCTTTAGTGAGAGAGCTACTGCTTCTGTCAGCTCCTGTGCACACCTTAGTAAACCTTCCTGTTTTGTTAACCTGTCTTTTGTCGGTTTTACTTGGCAGGACCCCTTAGTACAAACTAGCTTTTCCTTCCTGAAAAGACAGTGATATAAAACCACTTACCTGGGGCGTTTGTATTGTTCGGTGGCTTCCTGGGAGACAGATTCATACAATTGCAATATTTGGTTCCATTCTCACTACTACATAGCTCCCCACTGTGGTTGTCACTGAAGGAATATATGCTTAGATGACTTACTAAGAAAGTAGAAAAATAGTAACACTAGTTAGATTTCTATAACGTTAAGTCCATGCCCGTAAATTATTTATTTGAATGAATCTGCCGAGGGCATGCAGGAACTGCTGATTGAGAGGAGGCTCATTGCAACCTGTAGCAGTTCAGCTTCATGCTCCTTCATCTGAAGCAGCTTTGTAGATATTGCATTCTTTTTTTTTTTTTTTTTTACAAAGAGAAGGTTTGTGGCAACTTTGTATTGTGCAAGATTATTGGCATCATTTATCCAACAGCATGGGCTCAGTTCATGTTTCTGTGATATTTTGGCAAGCCTCACTATATTCCTAATGTTTTCTTATCATATCTGCCGCGGTGACCTGTGGTCAGTGAGCTCTCGTGTTACCATAGTAATTGTTTGGGGCACCTTGAAGCACACAAAGATGGCAAACTTAGTGGATAAATGTGTGTGTTCTGACTGTTCTTCTGGCTCTCTCCATTTTCTTGGGCCTACCCATTCCCTGAGAAACAATCAACAATATTGCAATTAGACCAACTAATGACTTTGCAAAGGCTCCTAATGAAAGGAAGGAGTGAGTGCTTCGCCCTTAAAAATCAACAGGTGGAAGTGATTACACTTAGTGAGGAAGGCATGCCAAAAGCCCAGAGAGACTGAACACAAGGCCTCTTGCACCACTTTCACTAAGTCATAAATGCAAAGGAAAAGTTCTTGAAAGCAATAGAAGTGCTACTCCTGCAATACATGAATGACAAGAAAGCCAAGGCTAGCCACCAGAGAAAAAGAGTATGGCTGGCTGAAAACTCAGATACTCATCTGGATGTCTGTTTTAGCAATACAGTATGCCTTAATTCAGTGTGTACATTTTTTTGTGCATCATGCTAGCTCATGCCACTAGATTCCAGTGTAGTATAAGCATAACTTTTACATGCACTGCAAAACTGGGCCAAGCCGAAGCCAGGAGCCAGGAGCTTCATTCTGTCTCTCACACGGATGGCAGGGGCTCAAGCACTTGAGCCATGTCCTACTTTCTTGGGTGCATTGGATTTTGAAGTAGAACATCCTAGACTCAAATTGGTGCCCATATGATCTCCTGGCATTGCAGGACACGGGTTAATGCACTGAGCTCCTGGATTTAAATTATCAAGCTGCTCAAAAATTCTGTTCAAAACTTCAAACTATCATGTCACTTGCAAGATCCAAACATTTGATATAAAAGGGTTCAATGAAGCTGGCGCCGTGGCTCAATAGGCTAATCCTCTGCCTGCGGCACCAGTACACCAGGTTCTAGTCCCAGTCGGGGCGCCAGATTCTATCCCAGTTGCCCCTCTTCCAGGACAGCTCTCTGCTGTGGCCTGGGTACAGTGGAGGATGGCCCAAGTCCTTGGGCCCTGCACCTGCATGGGAGACCAGGAGAAGCACCTGGCTCCTGGCTTTGGATCAGTGCCGTGCACCGGCCGCAGCGCACTGGCTACAGCGGCCATTGGAGGGTGAACCAGCAGCAAAGGAAGACCTTTCTCTCTGTCTCTCTCTCTCACTGTCCACTCTGCTTGTCAATAAATAAATAAATAAATAAAAATAAAAGGATTCAATGAATTTCCATGAAAGTAAGTTCTCTCATCAAAATATGAAATTTCAGTTCATAGAACTGAACTCTTAGATGAGAGTGCTTCAGAATATTCATGGAAAATGAAATTTTAAAAGAAAAGCTGGGGCTGGTGCCATGGCTCACTTGGTTAATCCTCCGCCTGTGGCACCAGCATCCCATATGGGCACTGGGTTCTAGTCCCGGTTGCTCCTCTTCTAGTCCAGCTCTCTGCTGTGGCCCGGGAGGGCAGTGGAGGATGGCCCAAGTGCTTGAGCCTCTGCACCCGCATGGGAGACCAGGAAGAAGCACCTGGCTCCTGGCTTCGGATTGGCGTATCTCCGACCGTAGCAGCCATTTGGGAGGTGAACCAACGCAAGGAAGACCTTTCTCTCTGTCTCTATCCCTCACTATCTAACTCTATCTGTCAAATAAAAGAAAAAAATTTAAAAAAAGAAAAAAAAAGAAAAGCTTTTTTTTGGTGCAAAACATTTTGAAATCTATGCGTATTTTTTCCATGAACCTTTAAGACTCTTCATGAAGGAAATTCAGCTATCCCTATAGTAAAAGATGTGGCTTTCCAGTTACTCACCCCAAATACATAGTCCTATCACCGTGGCCACCAGTGCAGCTATGACAATGCAGGTCAGTCTCAGAGCAGTCTGATGCCACTTTGGACACTCCTGGTAATCTGTAATGATTCATTTTCCTTCTGAAACATTTTGACATTTAAAAGGAACTTGAAAATGTGCCATAGCAATGGCAAATTAGCAGGGATTATATTGTCTGAGAATGGGGGAAAGAAGCCTGCAGGGTCCACTAAATTCTCTTGAGATGAACACATACTTAATTATCCTTAAATAATTGAATTTATTGACTATAAATAAAAGGTCAAAATGCTTTATTTGCTGTTTATTAAGTACTCTTCTTACGTTAATCCTTCTATTCCAAAATTAACAGTTCACGCAGCTAGGGATATTAGTTGATCAAACTGATTTGTCAAAAATTTTCACTAAAATATGTCATTTGGCTTTATTTATAATTTGAAATACAGAGATAACATTCTATGGGATTAAGGCTCAGGAAGGAAAAATATAAATAGTAGCAACATAATGAAATGAGAGTAATAGTGAAAGTCTGTGTAGATACATAAGCAAGAATGAGTGTTGTAGCCATCTTCCCAATTGCTCTTTTTTTTTAATTTTTATTTTTTGACAGGCAGAGTGGACAGTGAGAGAGAGAGACAGAGAGAAAGGTCTTCCTTTTGCCGTTGGTTCACCTTCCAATGGCCGCCGCGGCTGGCGTGCTGTGGCCGGCGCACCGCGCTGATCCGATGGCAGGAGCCAGGTACTTATCCTGGTCTCCCTTGGGGTGCAGGGCCCAAGCACTTGGGCCATCCTCCACTGCACTCCCGGACCACAACAGAGAGCTGGCCTGGAAGAGGGGCAACTGGGACAGAATCCGGCACCCCGACCGGGACTAGAGCCCAGTGTGCCAGTGCCGCAAGGCGGAGGATTAGCCTAGTGAGCCGCGGCGCCGGCCCCCAATTGCTCTTTGAAATAAAACTTTTTTGTTTATATTGACTCCTAATGCTAACCTTATTGACTGTTATCTTTTGCTTTAATTAAATAAGCCTTGTAACACTTTCACAATTTTCAACTCAGGGAAAGTGAAATCTAATTTACCACATCCAGTTTTAACAAGATTTAAAAACATATAAGTGAGAGTACTTTGAAAAGTTAGCAGAAAACCAGAATTAAGATATGTTTATTTGGTGGTCTTAATTTCATTTTTTTCCATGAACTTTTTGAAGCACACTTGTGTGTTAGGAACTGGGCTGGATAACCTCACAGTCTATTGGGAAGATATCTATGTAAACATATTCTTTCAAAATAAGCTAACAGTATCTATGAATACCAAGATCTGTTTCAAGTTCTTAAAAGCTCTCAGTGAGTATCTAAAGTTTAATTCCACACAAAAAAATTCTAAGCATAATCTCTGGTCTAATGGAGGATTACAGATTCCTACCTTTGTGTGTCCACTTGTGTTGGCAATGATGAGGATATTTCCTTGGCTTCTTCATTATAGATCCCTTTGTGCTTTGCATCTCTTCAACCATCCCATAAATAGAATACTCCATCATTGAGTGAGATGGAAAGAGAGACATCCCTTGACAAAAAGTAGAATCAGTCTACAGTCTACAAACTGTGGCAATCAAATAAAGCTTGTAGCTATAAAACCACACAGGATATGGTTTAAGTAAAGAGAACTTCAATTTATTTGTTTATTTATTTGACAGACAGGGAAACAGAGAGAGAGAGAGTGAGAGAGAGAGAGAGAAACGAAGAAAGACAGAGCTCCCATTTACTGGTTCGCTCTCCAAATATTTGCAATGGTTGGGACTGGGCCAGGTCAAAACTGGGAGCTGGGAGCTGAGAGCTCAGGTCAAGTCTCCTGTGGGTGGCAAAAACTCAATATTAGATATCACCTGCTGTATCCCAGGGTTCAAATTAGCAGGAAGCTGGAATCAGGAGCAGAGCTGGGACTTATTCCTAGGTACTCTGATATAGGATGCAGGCGAACTAACTAGCAACTTAGAAAGGAGCTTAACCACTAGGCTATGTGCTTACAATAAAAATTTTCTTTTGGCATTTATTAAAAAATATTTATTTATTTATTTGAAAGGCAGAGTTACACACAGAGGGAGAGCCAGAGAAAGAAAGAGATCTTCCATCCACTGGTTCACTCCCCAAATGGCTGCCATATGCCAAGAGTAAAGAATCCTTCTGAGTATCCCATGTGGGTGCAGGGGCCCAAGCACTGGGCAATCCTTTGCTGGTTTCCAGGCTCATTAGCAGGGAGTTGGATTGGAAGTGGATCAAGGACTTGAACAGATACTCATATGGGATATTGGTGTCGCAGGCAGCAGCTTAACCCACTGTGCCACAATGCTGACTCCTTGGCATGGTTTCTGATTTACAAAAAAATTGTGAGAATAATGCAGTTTTTGTATACTCAACACCCAATTTCCCTATTATTACCACCTTAGATTAGTATAATATGCTTGTTAAACTTAATGAATCAGTATTATTAAACAAAGTCTATACTTTACTTAGATTTCCTTACTTTTTACCTGAGACTTTTTCTTGACTTGGAGATCCTATCCAGAATGTCACAATATATTTAGTTATCACACCTCCTTAGGATACTATTGGCCATGACTTTTTTTTTTCTTGTTTTTGAGGATTTTGAAAGTTTTAAAAAATAATGGTCAGGTATTTTGTAGAATGTTTCCAAATTGGACTAGTCTAATGTTTTTATTATGATTATACTTGGATTTTTGGATGGATACCAGAGATAAATTGTTATTCTCATCACATCTTATTAAGGGTACATATTATCAACATGGCTTATCACAGTGGATGTGAACTTCAGTCACTTGTCTTAAGTAGTGGTTGTCAGATTTATTTATAGTAAACCTTCTCCTTATGCCTGTTTTGGAAGGAAGTCCATGTGGGAAGCCCATACACAAGGAGTGGGGAATTATGCTCCACTTCCTTGAGGCCAGAGTCTTTAGATAAATCATTCAGAATCTTCTGAAGGGGAAGTTTGGTTACTTTCCCATTTACTTTTTTGTTTTAAAGATTTTATCTACTTATTTGAGAGGTAGAGTTACAGAGAGAGAGGGAGAGACAGAGAGCAAGGTCTTCCTTCTGCTGTTTCACTCCTGAAATGGCTGCAACGGCTGGAGCTGGGCCGATCTGAAGTCAGGAGCCAGGAGCTTCCTCTGGGTCTCCCATGGGGGTAGAAGGGCCCAAGGACCTGGACCATCTTCTACTGCTTTCCCAGGCCATAGCAGAGAGCTGGATAGGAAGTGGGAATCTGGAACATGAACCAGTGCCTGTGTGGGATGCTGGTGCTGCAGGCGGAGGCTATAGTCTACTGCACCACAGTGCTGGCCCCTACCATTTACTTATGTATTCAGTCATTTATGTCAATACAAACTCATTCATTTTGAATGTTTTGAGTTGTAATCCAATATTTCTTAATTTTGCTGCCCTCCTCTTCCGGCTTTGGTCATGGGGAGTTCTTTCAGTTTGCTCTGTGAGTTCCCACTGATGCCGCTGCTCTAACACTGGAGCATTCTACCCTCACAACTAAGAGAAACATGGCCTTCACCATCACCACACAGCTACTGTGTCGTTCACTGCCACTGTACAAGTGTCGGAGGAAACTACTTTATGGAACAAATTGCCCATGTACCGTTCCTTTTTCCCTCAGTTGAGCAGGTTCTACTCATTTCTTTCTTTCTTTGAAGATTTATTTTATTTATTTGAGAGTCAGCACGAAAGAGAGGGAGAGGCGGAGGCAGAGAAAGGTCTTCCATCCCCTGGTTCATGCCCCATATGGCTGCAATGGTCATACTGGTCCAGTAGGCAGTGCCAGAAGCCAGGAGCTTCATCTGGGGCCATCCTTCCTGCATTTCCAGGCCATCAGCAGGGAGCTGGGTGGGAAGTGGAGCAGCTGGGGCTTGAACTGGTGCCCCTATGGGATGCTGGTGCTGCAGGCAGTGGCTTAACCCACAGCAGTGGCTAGGTTTTACTCATTTCTGAAGTTTCTTAAATCAGCAGCATTTCCGCAGACCCTTCAGTGAGACTGCTTCATAAATTGGTAAGTCAGTTAAATCTTTTGGCACTTTCCGAATTCCATGGGATCCCACAGCCTCCAAAATGCTTTTTACATTTGCATATATTAAGGTCCACTCTTTCTGCTATAAAATTTGATGGGTTTTGACAAAGGCATTATGCCATGACTCCATCATCACAATACCACACACTCCTCTGAATCTATCTGTGCTTTACCTTTCCAAGCTATACCTTTCCCAAGTCCTGATGACCACTGATAAGTTTCTCATCTCTAGACTTGTCTTATCCAGATGTCATATAAGTGGGATTATACAGTATGAAACCTTTCAGACTGACTTTTTTTTGTCAATATGTAAAATACACTTGAGATTTTTCCATATGTTTTCATGACTTGAGAGCTCATATTTTTTATTGCTGAGTGCATTATAGAAATGAACCACAGAGGGCCGGCGCCGCGGCTCACTAGGCTAATCTTCCACCTTGTGGCGCCGGCACACCGGGTTCTAGTCCTGGTCGGGGCGCCGGATTCTGTCCCAGTTGCCCCTCTTCCAGGCCAACTCTCTGCTGTGGCCAAGGAGTGCAGTGGAGGATGGCCCAAGTGCTTGGGCCCTGCACCCCATGGGAGACCAGGAGAAGCACCTGGCTCCTGCCATTGGATCAGCGTGGTGCACCAGCTGCAGCGCTCCAGCCACGGCGGCCATTGGAGGGTGAACCAACAGAAAAGGAATACCTTTCGCTCTGTCTCTCTCTCACATTGTCCACTCTGCCTGTCAAAAAAAAAAAAAAAAAAAAAAGAGTTCTTTGTGGGACCGGCGCCATAGTGCACTAGGTTAATCCTCTGCCTGTGGTGCTGGCATCCCATATGGGTGCCGGTTCTAGTCCCGGCTGCTCCTCTTCCAGTCCAACTCTCTGCTGTGGCCCAGGAGGGCAGTGGAGGAGGGCCCAAGTGCTTGAGCCTCTGCACCCGCATGGGAGACCAGGAAGAAGCACCTGGCTCCTGGCTTCGGGTTGGCACAGTTCCTGCTGTAGCAGCCATTTGGGGAGTAAACTAATGGAATGAAGATCTTTCTCTCCATCTCTCCCTCTGTTTGTAACTCTACCTCTTAAAAAAAAGTTATTTGTATGTTTTTACTACAAATCTTTTTATTAGACAAGTGTTTTGAAAATATTTTTCAGTATGTGTGGCTTTCTTTTTCATCCTCTTAAATGTATGCTTTATATAGTAGAAAATTTTAAATAAAGTCTAACTTATTTTTTTCTGTTTCATAGAGTGTGCTTTTTGTGTTCTACTTAAAAGAATCTCAACAAATAAAGGTTATGGATGTTTTCTCCAAGAGGTTTTATTCTTTGCATTCAATTTTATGATTGTTTTGGGTTAATTTTTGTTTAAGGTACAAAGATTACTTATAGATTCTTTCTTTCACATTTGTATATAGACATCCGATTATCTTTACACCAATTGTTATTTATATAATTTTTCCTTTTCCTGTTGAATTGCCTTTGCATCTTTCTCAAAAATGAGTTGACTGTATTCATGTGGGTGTATTTTGAGCATTTCCATTCTATTCTCTTGACTGATATACCTATTTGCTCATAGTAACGATGTCTTAAAATTGTTTTACCAACTCTGATCATATGTAGACAAGGTCGTAGTCAAAGTGGAAGTTCTCTCCTCCCTTCAGAGAAAGGTACCTCCTTCTTTGATGACCTGTTCTTTTCACTGGGATCTCACTCATGGAGATCTTTCATGTAGGGTTTTTTTTTTTTTTTTTCCCAGAGTGTTTTGGCTTTCCATGCCTGTAATACTATCATGGGCTTTTCAGCCAGATCCGCGTGCCTTAAGGGCTGATTCTGAGGCCAGAGTGCTGTTTAGGACGTCTGCCATTCTATGGGTCTGCTGTGTATCTCGCTTCCCATGTTGGATCATTCTCTCCTTTTTTTATTCTATCAGCTAGTATTTGCAGACACTAGTCTTGATTATGTGCTCCCTTTGGCTCTTAGTCCTATCATTATGATCAATTGTGAACAGAAATTGATCAGCGGGACTAGTGAGATGGCATTGGTACATGCCACCTTGATGGGATTGAATTGGAATCCCCTGGTATGTTTCTAACTCTACCGTTTGAGGTAAGTCAGCTTGAGCATGTCCCGAATTGCACATCTCTTTCCTCTCTTATTCCCACTCTTATATTTAACAGCGATCACTTTTCAGTTAAGTTTCAACACTTGAGAATGACTGTGTATTGATTACAGTATTCAACCAAAGGCTTCCATAGCCTTGGCAACTCATGACAAGAGCCTAGAGTGATTACTGATGCCATAAACAAGAGTGTCAATTTGTTAAGTCAAGAACAGGAGTCACTGTTCCCTTGCTCCTCATGTAGGATCTCTGTCCTTAATGTGCTGTACATTGTGATTTAATGCTATAACTAGTACTCAAACAGTATTTTTTACTTTGTGTTTCTATGTGGGAGCAAACTGTTGAAATATTTACTTAATATATGCTAAACTGATCTTCTGTATATAAAGAGAATTGAAAATGAATCTTGATATGAATGGA